CCCCCACCCTCTGGCTGAGTTGATCCAGTGCAGTGCCAGTCAACCCCACCCTCTGGCTGAGTTGATCCAGTGCAGTGCCAGTCACCCCCCCACCCTCTGTCTGGATGGAGCCCAACCCTGTCACGTGACCCTGCCAGGTGGGCGCATGTTCCCCGCTCCGCCAACGTCTCCGGCGCGAGCCGCCTTTCAAACAGGAGCCGGATCAGTCTCGAGTCGCGGCCGGCGCGCTCGGGGTGTTGGGGGCGGGGCGGGGCGGAGCGGGACCGAGCGGACAAAAGGCGCGCGGGCGGCCGCTGCCTCCCCAGAGCCGCCGCGTCCGTGTGACTGGCGGCGGCGTTGCGGGGAGGGGGGGGTGCGGCAGTATTCTACATGGCTGAGGTCTCTGCAGAATGAAGGTTCTAGTGGGGTGGGGAGAGAACTAAACTTATACACAAAGCAAACACACACCAACACATTTTTGTTGGGAAATCTCTGCATTTCTTTCATTTGCAACCACCGAAGCGAACAAGCGCGCACTGAGGAGAAATGCAACCTTTTGTGCTCGTTTGCCGTTCCTTTATGTGGGATCTTGTTTTGGCTGGGTTCACTCAATTTTCATCTGAAAGAGTAAAAAAGATCAATTCCCTCCTCCTCCTCCCACCACCAGCCCCCAACCCCAAAACAGACACACACACACGCACACACACAAGTTCAGCAAAGAGTAAATAAAACAGTTCCAGCACTATGGATCTCCACTTACTTATCTAAAATAAAGTACAGGTCGAAAGCTCCGTGACAGGATGTCTTGTCGTGGTCTTTGTCCTCTCCCACTTGGCCAAAAGTAAATGAGCAGAAGAAGACGCCGAGGAGCAACAAAGCTCTGCAAACGCCGCTTGCAAAGCTCGCCATTTTTCTCGGGGCAAAATACTCATTCGATCTTCAAGCAAACCAAGGCAGAGAAAAAAAGGACGCCGCTGGAGTGGAAATAACTGATCCAACTTTCTCCCTCTTTCTCTTCTATTGCTCCCTGGCAAAGCCAGGCAAATGATTCCCTCCCCAAACTGGAGTGTCTGAGCAGCAACTCTCCAGCATGCCCTCTCCAGTGCAGACTGAGGCTTCCTGACCCCCCTCGCCACACAGTCAGTGCGGAGGCTGGGACTACAATTTAACCAGCCCTTATAAATCCCTAGCATCCAATTTCCAGCACCAGTAAGCGAAATTCAACCGTGAGAGAGGGAAAAGAGGTGCTGACAAGAAGCATTAAGTGCCATACTTCTCCAGAAGCTGTTACGACACACAAACCACATGCACTGCGTGAAACGGTGCTGTAGGCTAATTCCTTAATAATCCTAAAAATTGGATAAATACTTGGGAACACTTGTTTAAACAGGACTGTAGGAAAGGGTAGGCACGAAGGATTATTTGGATAGCTCTTTTAGTCAATGACAAATACCGATAATTCTCCAGATGCTACTATAATGTGTAATGCGTTGCCCTAAATAGCGCTGAAAGCATATCACTTAGTAATTTTGAGAAGGGATTTGGATAAACAGGGAGAGAGGAAATCCTTACACGGTTTTAGAGGCGAAGGAGAAAGATTTGGGACTAATTGTACAGCCTTTTTTCAAGCAACAAGTACAGCCAAAATGGTCTGAACGGTCTCCTCATGTCTTGCTTTGTTCTATAGAATCAACCCATAAAGCGCCTTCAATGGTCAGACAACATCACACTTCTGGCAGTGGCTTGAGTCTTCTGTCACAGCAACACTTGCAACCTTACGGTCAACATTAGTCTTGCCTCCAACAACATCCCCTCCCCTCATCCACCCCACTTTCTTAACCTTGAATTAATATTTCTACACAACTGTCAAATGACTTCAATGAAAGGGGTCATTATTTTTTTCGACGAGAAACATGCGGTGATTTTAATAGTTACATTGATCAAAAACTTCTGTCTTTCTTGAACGCAAAGTATGTCTTCGACCTGTACCTTCAAGACTAAACGAGAGGCAGAGTGCTGAGAGTTGGAGGGTTAATAGTGAGGCAGTTTGATCTGAAAATGTCATGTAATACGCGCTCCTTGGAAAGAGGGCGCTTGAGACATAACACATAAACGTTATCATAATGCAACATTATTCTATTCGTTTAAATCCAATAAAAACCAGGTACGTTTGCAACAGTTTGGCACGGTTTACCCACACTCGAATGTTAAAAAAAATACTTTCCGCTGGCTGTGGATCCTGATGCTCAATCTCTATTTACATTTGACCTCAAGGGCTGTGAGCAGGTTTGACTTTCAGAATATTTTCCAGGCCATGCATTTCCCAGGGCATCTTAAGATGCCTCTTATGACCGGAATTATATCAATCGCTATGATTACTTACGGCTACAGAAACCTAAAAATAAAATGAGATTTTTGAAATGTTGACTCCGGCTTTAAAACGCGGCAGCAGATCTGCGGCAGGTTATGCCAAAAGAAACGAAATAAATGTTTTTTTTTTAAGTATTTCTTTCCACAAAGATAAACTCCACAATTATTTTATGCATTCTTCAATTTATGACTTCTATCCATAGCCTCGCTTCTTTCTTTCAAAATGTTATTTTGCAACTGTGCAGCAACTTGAATCAAAATTAAAGCAAGTATCAATTAAATGTAGGAATTATTTTGATAACGGGTATATTAAGAGGTTGTTTGTTTAATTTCAGGCTTCGATTGGACCCCGTCCTGTGCAATATCACAGATAGCGAGGTTAATGGTCTCTTTCTCGTTTGGAGAATCGATTGCAGTGTCTGTATGGAATGCAGACTATATTTAGAATTTACAGTATTAGAGTGTAACAATAATTTGCGACTATCGGTGATCGTATCAAACTTAAAACAAAAATAAATTCACTCTATTGAATCTTTATGAATCGACAAAGCAGCTTCGAAATTCACACTCGGCCAGACTTGAAATTGACAAATATATTGTGAATTGAAAGGCTAAGTTTAAATTTGATGCATTTTGTAAGCAAACTTGTTAGTGTCACATGATTTTCAAATTCATCATCATACAATCAGCGTAATCTGGTTTATATAAGGAATCTCTGCTTGACTGTACTGTTACCACAGACCGCACTGTTCAATTTCACCTGCATTGCCACATTGAATATATCATAGTCCTCCTATGAAAATGAGACAAATAAACTCTGACAACCCAGAAACGTTAAGTTTTGGTAAAATTAACGGGCGATCTTGCGCTTCTGAACTAGTTCTGCGTTCAGTGGCGAGCTGCTATTGAAATAACGGGGACATTAGACTGGAGAAGGGTAGGTTATTTCAGATGTCAAAGATGCTCATAGGAATTTTCTGTCAAGCGTTGACATGCCTTTATTCGGATCGACGTCTTTCCAAAATGATGTTACTTTTTGAATCTTTAGCATTATTTGATTATGACAAGGTAGTTGACCATTAGGGAAGTATTTTTGTAATTCCATTTCCAAGCTTTCCTGAAAGAATCGAATTATATACTCGGCCGACAGCATTCTCTCCATCCCCAGTTATTTGGAATACTTAGCACTTAAATGGAACAGGTTCAGGTTCGCTTTCGATAGAATGAAGTACCCTTCCTAGGAAAGGAATAATTCAAGTATCATTTTAATTTTAATATCCAGCAGCATCACAATAATCTATTTGGACGCCGTTAAGATTTCAAATCGAATTAAGATTTCCACGCAAGTTAAAAGCTATGCTGAGATTCGTTTATACTTTGATTTAGCAAAAAGCACACGGTCACATTTTGTTTCCAAGAGAGTTGGGGGAAAAGGGGGCACTTTACAGAAATTTGTAAATCGCTTCTTAAGGGGTAAGGTGGCAATCCATGAACGTTATTGATTTGACCCGAATTGTGCTTAATTTGACAGAAAATTGATAGTTTCTCGGAGTTCTGCGCCACCGGCTGTGAGGAGATCTGTCTTGGAGCCGCTAAACATTTTCACGGCTCAACATCAAACTGTGGGTTGCGGCTTAAGCTCCATTTGTTTTGTTTTGTTTGGCGTTCAAGGAGAAAACAGAAACCTCGACTGTCTGTAACACAAGTTAGATTCAGCTTCCTGATTCAAATGCTCCTATTTCTTTGTAAAATAAGGTCCAGAAATCAAGCAGTTTCTCCCCCCGAATAAGAGATACTACTCCAATCTAATTAGCGCACTACGTAGCGCGACGAACTTTTAAAAACAAAATTTATTATGTCCTGAATTTAAAAAAAATGGTGAGACAAATACTCCTGTTATTGTTGCGCTATTCGCGTTAAGAGAATTAAACGATTTTTTTTCATTTAAAAAGATCTGCTAGAATTTATAAATAATGTATTACCTCCGTTGTTCGGTGCATAAATAATAAACAAGGCGTCAACACAATGATGTCGACGTTTCAGAATCAACCCATCACCATTTAACATTGTTTTTATATAAATCTGTGCAACCGACTCCAAAATTACTCATTTCTCTACATGTACGTACTAGGATAGAGTTTAAGTTTATCTGATGTAAGTGCTTACACTGACCGCCGTGATTTCTAACGGTTTAATTCGATAATTCCTTTCAATTTTCACTCGTCATTAAAGACACGGCGAATCTTCAATCATTGATAGACTGAAGATTAAGTAATTTGCCAAGGAAGTATAAGACCGAATCCGGGCGGTTTAGAATCCATTCATTCTACCCAACAGCGAAGTTTGTGCAAAATATGAACTATATACAGGCACCAAGCACTATTTTTAAAAACGATTTCTAACTTGACCTTAGACGCTACAGAATAGAGCCCAACTTTTGCGACTGCGGGGAGCGGATCCTGTAAGAATATGGCCAATTTTGTGTTAGAGAAAAATATTAAACCTTTAACCATGAGTGTAAGCGACTGTGCCAGTTTAGGAACCAAAAAACTGCAGATGCTGGAATCCAAGGTAGGCAAACAGGAGGCTGGAAGAACTTCTGAAGTCCCGAAGAAGAATCATACCCGAAACGTTGACTGCTCCTTTCCTCCAGATGCTGCCTGGCCTGCTGTGTTCTTCCAGCCTCCCGTTTGCCAGTTTACTAGTTGAGTGTTAATGAACCACCTTCAAACTAAGGTGCGAATTTGTTACAAATGTGTAATATTTTCTCTCTGATTTTTAGGTCAGGTGTACCACAGGCAGCGCCCTAAAACCGTAACTTTTGTTGTCGAAGCTATTCAAATTGTTCTTATCTACGTATTGTGCAGAAAGCTATCAAGCACTGCTCCAAATGAACTGCAATTGTCCGCTCCCATGCACTCATTCTGAGAATTGCTCCATATAACCCACCAATGAACGTGCCAAATGAGGGAGCATGCAAGCGGAAGAGCCCTGGGATGGCTTGTCACTCTTCACT